AATGTCCATTTCTGGCTTGACATAGTCTTAATGACCTAGGTCTTAAGAATTTAGCCAGCTTTTCTGGCTGAAGCAGCTCTTTGAACAGATGCCTAGAACGCATGTCTCCCACTCCTGACCTCTCCTCTAGGCCGTTGTCTGGACCTTTGTCCTTTCTTCTTCCCTCTCCCCCACGCCCCTGCTCCCCCCATATACACATTTACTTATTAAAGTATCCTCAGAGAAGCCTTACCTGACACCACCCTATATAAAATCAGACCTTCACAGCAAGCTTAATTTTCTAATTTATTTGGTTGTTTCTCTGACTGTATTTGTTGGATAAATGAAGTGCATTAGATTTTCTTTTTTGCCACATTTTAATTAATGTACTGCTTCCTATAAAAAGAATGACGTATCACTCTGAGGTCTGGCAAGGAATAAGTAAATAAATAAATAAAAATTTAAAAAAAGAATGACATTAACCAGGCATAGTTGTACATGCCTATAATTCCAGCACTTGAGTTAGAGGCCAGTCTGAACTACATACTGAAACCCTATCTCACAAAAAGAAAGATGTTCCCCAGTTCCGCAAAAAAAAAAAAAGATGTTACTGGTATCTATAAACATTTATTATACCAAAACCAGCTTTATAACCTCCTTTCTTTTCCCTGTTCCCAGTGCTCCTGAAATTCCGCACAGATAAAGGAAGAGATCCTAGTTCTGATACCTATGGGGAAGATGCGGACTTGTTGCTTCACATTCGAAATGATGTGCTTGACTCACTGGGTGTGAGTCCTGACCTGCTTCCCGACGACTTTGTCAGGTTGGTCTCAGTACTTCTTGAAGCTTAGCCTGGACAGATAAGCTTCAGTGTCCAAGGTTGCCTTGATTCAGGCAGATCCTTCATGGAGACCCAGCATCGTGAGAGTACCCTGCCAGCTTGAGCCCACTGCCTCTTTTCTGGGATAAAAGTATATGAAAAATAAGAGATACAGGTTCTGTTTTTGACAGTATATAACAATACTTCCATTCATATGGTCCAAAATTCAAGACAGAGGACTGGCCAAATAGCTCAGCAGACTAAAGTGCATGCTTAGGCAGACACAGGGACTGAAGTTCGATCAACCAGTGGCTCACCGTGCTGGCCCCACACCCAAGGTGCACTGAGACTGAGACTGGGCGTGGTGATGCACGCCTGTAACCCCAGCACTTGGGAGGCTGAAAACAGAATCACTACAAGTCCCATCTGTGTAGTGAGACCCTATAGACCCTGTACAACATACATTAAAAAAACACACAAAATTCCAAACAGGCTGGGTATGGTAGCACAGGCCTGTAATCCCAGCACCTAGGAAGCTGAAGCAAGAGGACTGCCACAAGTTCGAGGCCAGTCTAAACTACATAGTAAGTTCACAATTAGGCTGAATTCCATAGCAAAACCTGTTTCAAGAAGATAAAATTAAAAAGGGGTGGGGAGATAGCTCAGTAGAATAAGCACTTGCCTGACAAGCACAAGGGCCAGAGTTCAGTCTCTGCTTCTGCAAAAAAAAAAAAGAAAAAGAAAAAGAAAAGAAAAGAAAAAAATTACAACAATATGCAAAGTATTAATTATTGAAAATGTACCAGTAAGTGGTTGTAAAACTGTATCATTGATATTTGATTCTCAATGAAATTATTGAAAAAAAAAAAAGTGGATAAAGAAGACGTGGTATTTTTATATAATGGAGTATTATTCAGCTACATAACCAGATAAATGTGAATCTTTTGTCAGTAAATAAATGCAAGTAGAGAACATATTCTTTAAAAAAAAAAAAAAA